CCACATGGGTTGACCTTCAGGTGAGACAGCAAGTTCACATTCTAGCTCTGCCACTTCATAACGGAGTGTCTTCGGGCACAACTTTATTTAAGTTACTGAAGCCTTGGTTTCCTCATCTACAAAATGAGGATACTATCTCTCCATTGGGAATGATATTCATCATTATAATATAAGTAAAGGGTTTAACAGAGTACCCAGAGCATAATGAGTACTCAGTACTGGAAGTGGTGGTTATTATTATGATTACTATTGATAAAATTAGAATTGTTTCTGCACTTTATGAAAATATTAGTAGATTCTAACTTTTGATGACCGTTTGCATAAATAGAGAAGGCAACCTTGTGCACAGCTCTCCGTTATTCTGTGTTTAAAGAGAAACCAAAACCATTGGCTGTTTTCAACCTTACCAGAATCAATTTACTATCTTTGGGCATTCCAGTTCAGATTTATTGATCATGCTGTCTCAAGAATTGCAGAGAGATGGACACACATAAACCTTCTCTCATACATGCATTCTGTCTCTATGTACATAAAGTGTTGATTACATTTTAGAATATAGTATAATAAATTATGTCATAGGTAAATGAGAATGAATCCCTTAGGCTGACTCATTTTGAGAGAGAGTTCGCCAGAACAAAATCTAAATGTTACAGTTTTACAAGTACCTACCATTATGGTTTAACCAGTGAATTGGATTTCTGGCTTGATTTCTCTTTTAGATGAAACAGTTATTGAATCTTTAAAAATATTATCAAATTCTCAGTTTTTATACCATTTTTTATCAGAGATTGGACATGCAAAGAGTTTTGGCTGACAAAATATAAAATCTAATTTGTGGGAATACATGAGATTTCTAATAGCTTATGAGATAGTTAAAGATAGTTTCATTGGCTTCACAAGATTTTAGTCTAGCTCTAGATGTTATAATTCCTAAACCAGGTTTTTTCCTAATATATATATTTTTTTCTCCATTCTCTCTATATGTATATAGATAAAATATATGGAGGAAGTTATGTGTGTGAATTTATAGGTTTTACCCAAGCTTCTATGATGGGGATGGTTGTGTCTGGTAATTGGATACAGCTAAATGTTAGATAAAGTTTCAGTAATATACCAAAAATATAAAGTACAAGAATAAAAATTCCATTTTCTTTTGTTCCAGGTTCTCTGGGAGATGCTAACAAGGGAGGTCCCCTTTAAAGGTTTGGAAGGATTACAAGTAGCTTGGCTTGTAGTGGAAAAAAACGAGGTAAGACTCCGATTCTCCATTCAGGTACATAGATCAGAAAACAGTATTGGGGTTTTGCAAAAGACTTTTTCATCTTCTTCAAATTGAAAGTAAGTTCACGCTTATGGAAAGATTAGCAGTAGGAGCTAACACAAAGGGTCAAAGTGATGTTATTCCTCATGAATGGACCCTTTACATCTAATTGTTGCAGCTTCACGTCGTGATGCTGTAGATCAAAAATTGTACAAGTACTGTACTAGTTTCTCAGTCTCAATTGTAAAACCTAGGGGTTTGTTCTTAGTGATGAAAGAAGCCATTGCGTCCAAGGTAGGGGAACAGTTTAACTCCATCTCCTGCGTTTAGGACATCTTTTTTACTGGCCGGGAGTTGATATATCTGTAAGAGACCTTCAGCTACTTCAACTTACCTCTCCCAGCAGGAGTCACTATAGTACAAGAAACTGTCGCTTAGATGAGAATTTCAAAAATAAAAGAAGAAAAAATAGTTTCAAAAAAGGGAAAAATTACAGTTTTGCCACCTACGTTGAACACTACATTGAAGATGAGCTCCTCACTGGAATTGGCGAGGCAGTGGCGTAACTGCTCACTTCTTCATGCAGAGCCTTTCCATTTCAAAAGGACTTCAGTGGCGTAAACACCGTTTGTGCTGTGTCCCCAGCCTCGCTTTTCTTCTTCCCACAAATTGAGGCTTTCAGTTAGTTGGACCTATGAGCCTACATCAGAGAACATGGTACATTCATATCAAAGAGAGCAACTACATTTTGAAAGGTTTAAAATTGTGACTGAAACGCACAGCCATGGAAATTCTCAGCATAAGGATGAAGCGTTCAATATCAAGGTATTATGAGAACTTAGATCATGTAATGGAATCACGCAGTTGTCTTTGCAATGCAAAACAACTCTATTTCACAAAACTTCTTCATTTCCAAATCTTAGCTGTGCCCTCTACACAGGGTAAGATTGCAACCTTAGGATAAAATAATTTGCAAAATAGGGGAATATATAGAACTATTTCCCTTTTTAATGCTTTAAAAGAATTGGACTGATCTCCCCAAATGAGTGCAGAACACACTCCATTAATCAAAAAGCTGCTATTGACTAAGAGAAACCAAGTCTGTCTTTTAGATCACATAATCCAGAGTTACTTTATTAATTTGTCCTCCTGAGCTGTTGAAAATGGGTGAAATGTACATGAGAGCTGAACTTGATGGGAGAGAGCTGCCTATTTAAGAGAGATGAAAGGAAGTTATTTGAGAATGTGTTTTTCTCATTGTTTCACAGGAACTGTTCTGTTTTAATTAAATATGATTGTAATTCCTGGTGTGCTGTTAAATCAGATCTCACACACAGATTGACTGATATTTTCACAATGTGACAACCTACTTGTTTCTGTTCTGTTTCTTTTGCCAGTGATATGATTAGATATTTGGCTTTTGGTTTACAAATGAAAATAAAGAAAGTTATTGACCTCCTGTTGACTTTAGAGCAGAGCAATCCATGTTATCTTTTCCCTCTACATCGTTTTAAAAGAAACTACAAGAAACTTGTTTTAAAAGCTAACTGGGCCCTCTAGATATATAGAGGAGACAGAATAATATTTTTAAAATAATATCTCATCAAAAGGATCCCAGAATAGGTGTGAATCTAAAGTACTTTCAAAACAGTGGAGTAGCTGACAAGGATTTTAAAAGCTGAAGAGAAAAATGAATTTAGAAGCTGCCTTTGGTTAGTTGACTTGAGGTGTGGGAATCACCCAGAAGTCACCTTCAGAACCTCCTCAGCGCGAGAGGGCTACCACCTGCTTCTCCCCAATCCTTAGAGTGTACTCTTTTCTTCATAGTGAGAGCTGATGACTAGCTGGTAACTGAGAGAGATTGCTCAAAGACATTCCATATTATGTTTATTAAAAATAAGAGTAAGTTGAAAGAAATTCACATGGTAAAATAAATTTCCTCAACTTTTTAATAAACTTAAGGAAAGTTGGACATTCACTTATTTCCATTCTGCCAATACTTGTCAGAAATATAGAAATTAAGTTTAAGTTTAGTGTCCTTTGTTTTCAGTCAAGAAGGTGATGTCATGTTGTATCACAAATTTACTATAACAAATTTTGTTGACATAGCATTAAAAGAATTCCCTAGGATTTATTTTATTTCACAATAAAATTCAGACCTTGACTCACACATAATTTGTAAAATCCTGTCAACTTCTAATCATTTATTTTGTTTATTTTTACTTTGGAATAATTTGGGTTATTGAGTTGAGAAGAGAAAGCTTTATTTTTTTTCACAGGCTCACAGGCTTCATTTAAATGAAGAATGATATGTTTAAACTTTTAGGAACACATTTTAAGTGTGAGCTGTTAACCCTAGAATGTCCCTAATTCAAATATCAGGGCTACTCTTTTTTTAACCTTTTATCCTGAAAAAATTATAGACCCATAGAAAGTGGCAAAGATTATACACAAAATTCTCTGTAACCTTCACCTAGCTTCCTCCACTGTTGACATAAAGAAAAAGTGTAATATCAAAACCAAAATGTTGACCTTGACACATTACTTTAACTCTAGATCTACCCAGTTTCATAATTTAGAATTGTTCTATGTGCCTGTGGGAAGATCAATATTTTCTAAAATTTCTATTTGCAGATCTTTGCTTCTCAGCCCTTAATAATGAAATATGACCATTAGACAATTACTTTTGTTAATATTAAATTTAAAACTAGATCCATAAAGCACTGTTAAATGTACAAAGCTAACAATGAACATTCTAGAAGGAATGAATTTAAGAGGGCATTTCTAATACATGTTCTAAATGTAACAGATATTGGCCTGAAAACTCAGTTAGTGGTCATTCAGAATGTTATAGCAGCATAATGTCTGTCTTGTTATAACTTACATTCTCAAGAAAATGTATTTTTTTAAGTAGTAAGACTACTCTTCTTGATTAACATAGAAATCCTCAAAATACTCCATTGTTGTTGACTATACTTTAGGGAAAAAATTAACTTAGAAAGTAATTCTTGCATCTTATGTAGAAAATGGTACAAAAGGTATATGACCTTTAAAAAATGCCATGCCTGCTTTAGTGGTTGGGATATATTTCAATTTTAAATTTGAATCTGTTTTACTTTAAATTATTTAAGTTTTAAGTAATATTTAAGTACTCATATCTGGTTATTTCAGAATGTCTTAGTGCATGAGGATGGCCCACATTTATATAATAGAAATTTAAGTATTTTAGATTCTATTTGAAAGTCTTTATTTAATGCACAAAATAATCCATTTTATAAAGTGTCTGAGTGGGGATTTAACTAATATTTGACCATATCAGGTAATTTAAAATAATTATGTCTCCTTGTATAATGTCCCAGATGTGGTATCTAAATGTTTGTCAGTAGGAAAAGATGATATTAACGATCAACATCCATACCCATCCACTTCACACTTCAATTATTGGAAAAATCTTTTTAAAAGTTGTATTGAAAATATTACCCTTTATGGAAAATTATTTTGAGTTGCAAGTGCTGTATAGTCAGCTGCATAATGGCACTTACTCTTCGTTTTATGTCCCCACTGCAACCATCTAATGTTTTTTAAAAAGTAAACACCTGCTTGAATTCTTGGAAAGTTCAGGGCATTTCAAAAAATACTTTCTGTTTGTGAATCAGAGTTAGAGTGTAGGGTCAAAAATTTATAAACCTCATTGTTTGCTTTGCTCAGCTGAATGGGGCATTTGAATTTTGGTGAAGAGTAAGAGTTCAGGCTTTAGGATATGTTTCAGGATCTGATGTTCTTGACTGCCTCCAGGTGCTTCCCTCCAGTCTTTATAATAAACAAAAATGCCTTAGAAGATTTCTCACTCTCAACAGCCACTAGGGGCATTTCATGTTCTATGAGAACTGCTACTATAGAGTGTTAGAACAGGATGGCTGTACATATAGTCGTTGGTGTATCAGGTTATTACAGTCTATGGGTTTGACCAACACTAAGCTATATTCGGTCATACATTCAAATTGTCTCATTTACCAGTGATAAAATGCACATCTCTTTAAAATGGTCTCCATGATCATTGATGATGAAGATGTTCTCTGCCTTGTATACTTGCTGCCCAAGCTGAATAGGTTTCCTTGTTGCCTATTTGTGTATTTCATAGTTACCTATAAAAGTTCAGTGATAGATTGCTGGTTTTACATTTAGTGTTTCAGTTATTTGCCTTTCTCCTGCTGTAATTTCTTTTAGAGTTGACTCTTTTTATTGCATTTATTGTGTTGAACCTCTCCATTACTGTGACTCCTCTTTGGAGGAACTGTATAAGCAACTTTAACAATTAAATATTGTGAATCAAAATATAAATTTTCACCCATCATTTATTAATCAGTGTAGGCCTTAAATGTAATGTCCTGTTTATGATCATAAATTAACTCCTATGAGCTTTCAGTTAGTTTTTGCTTACCTTCATGAGTAAACCCTGGTGTGTTGTTTTTCTTCTTGGTTGTATAGAGATTAACCATTCCAAGCAGCTGCCCCAGAAGTTTTGCTGAACTCTTACATGAATGCTGGGAAGCTGATGCCAAGGTATGTATATATTTGTTTGTTTGTTGTATTCAGAATTCTGAAGTTCTCCTTGCTTGCTTGACTTTGGGTTTTTAAAACCTGGGCTGATAAAATCCATGCGTTGCATGGCTGGCGTGAGCCCCGGGTTGGCTGTTCAGGCTTCCCCTTGACAACTGCTTATCTTGCTCCCTAGAAACTCTTCATTGCTGTTTTGTAGGCTATTGCAGTGGAGTTGGAAAAATCCCAAAACTTAGGCTTTCATGTGGTTATCACATTTGAGCCCATTTCCTTTCCCTGCAAAGATCATTTTAAGACTCTCACATTCGTATGGAAATATTTATAGATAAAATGATAGGCTAGTCTTGAATTTGCTTCAAAATAAAATAAAGGGAAATGGATGACGGCAGAGGTTAAACAAGATTGGCCATAATAATTTTTGAGGCTGAATGATAGGTATGTGGAGGTTCATATAATGAAAAGTTAAAAAGTAAAAGAGGCCTTTACAGATTAAACATTAGAATAAGAGAGAATTACATTCAAGAAAAAAAACCTAAAATTGTTGAAATCTGTCCAGTTTTTTATAGAAATATATATATGTTACAAACTGATCTTTTAAATAGAGATCTAAGAAGAAAAAAATTAGGAATGAAATTTCTTTCTTAACTTAAACCAGTTCTCCTCAGAACTCCCCCCCCCCCCCGCCCCAAGAAGAATTAATGACAGCATGTAGTCTTCTTCAGTGTGTTTCTCTCGTACAATAGCACAGCCAACCCTGGCGGCAGTGGCTCCTGTGCCCCGTGCCCCACGCACTCCCTGTTGGTTTGACTGGCCAGCACTTTGTTTTGGAAATTTAATGTTAGTTCTGCCCAGCTTTGTACATTTTATATTGGCCTCATAATCAGCAGCTTCAACCTTTGCTATCACTCCTGTTCATAAAATTACCTTCATTCTTCTTAAGTGTAAAGTCCTATATTTACTTAGTATTTTTTTTATTAAAGAACTTCACATTTTTAAATGTTAATATTTGTTGGGTTTTTTTTTTAGTATTTTATGACAATTTTGTGTAGATGTTTAGTTGTCTCTTTAGACCTTTTTGTTTTAGTATGTGATTATGCAGAATATGGGGATTTTTTTAAGCGTGAAGAGAAATGCCTGCCCAAAGCAACTAACCTAGTGGAAACTGTAAGCTTCTATTTGCCGACTTTCTCCAGGACATCCTGCCGAATGCTCTGACACCCTTTCTGTGCTCTTTCCTGCAGTTATGTGTCCCTTGTGGCATAAACAGTCATTTTGGCAGTACTTTTCTCTCCGACACTTAAAAAGAAATTTCACCTGAAATTATTTGCATTGGTACAACTAGATCTCTAGCATTGTGATTATATTTCAGAATGCAAAGCAGGTTTTTAATTTCTTAATCAGAAACTCTGCACCACATTAATTAAAATTCTAAGAACATACATTGATAGTGGATTAATTAAGATGGTGTAAACACCTAGTATATTAGGCCCAGCGTTGAGGCCATGAAGTTTGGCATGTTAACATGTTTATCATGTTGGGGCCTCCCTAGTGGCACAAGGGGTTAAGACACAACCTATGAAGCTATCTGCAGCCACTGCAGCATGAGTTCGATCCCCAGCCAGGGAGCTACCCACATGATGTAGCAGACCTCTCCTGACTCGCCCACTGCTCCCCTCAGCAGTGTACTTCAGTCAGTCTGCCTGTTCTGTTCCCCATCTGTCTCTGGTGAATCTTCCCATTCCCCCTACCCCCCGCCATACCTCTGGCCTGTACCCCAGTTCTTGTATGCATAAATAAATAAATCTTTAAAAAAAAACATGTTTTATCATGCTAACACAAGGGGTCAGCTGACCAAAGGAATCTTGTATTCTTGCCAAGTGAAGTATAGAGAAAGTTTTAAATTGTTTTTGGTGCCTAAATTTATGACATTTTGTTCTAATAAAAAACGAATACATGTCCCCCATATCTGAGGTGATGGCATACCAAGCTGCACCCACATACCCGCTGGTTCAATGCTGATCTCCTCCAGACACACCTCGTAGCCCTCCAATCCCTCCTGGTACTCTCTTCCTTCTTTTCTTCGTGTCCCTCCCCCCATCATCATCAAGCCTTCCTGGGGTCTGCCCTTGCCCATACTTAGGACCTTTTTCCTAAACCACAGTCTAGGCTACTGCCTTACCTTGTTTTCAGAAACATCTTTTCTTCCTAAATGAACCACAAGCTCTATGAGTGAATAGTAGTAGTCCTTGTGAGTGTCTCCCTAAGCACCTTACATAAACTTAGTAAGTAAAATGCCCACTTTACTGTTAACTGAACTAATCAGGCAAAGATCTACTTCACGAGAGTCTCCATTTCAGTCTCCAGCTATAGTATGTGATCGGTCAACTGGAAGTTCATGCCTGGCCTATGCACATATATAGAACAAAAATAGTTAAAATATTTTCTTTTTGTTTCCAGCCCTTACACTTTAGAGTATTAACACATAGATTAAAGTATTCAGCTCACTTTTAGAAATATATTTTTGAGTAAGGGGGGGAAATGTTTACAAGTTGGTATTAGGTAAATGTCAGATCATTTGTCAGTGACTTATATCAGGTACTCAGAATATTTTATTAAGAAAAGAAGGGAGTAAAGATGGGTATTGGTTCATCCTACACTGACATTTCTAAATAGTGAAAAAAGGAACTAAAATCATAATTGTGATAGGAAGTGGTATTTATCTTCATGTGATAATATATTTTGAAAGCTTTAGGTCATATTCCTGGTGTCTGTAACTTGCCATCTGTGTGATACCACACAATTAATACTTTCCCAAGACTGACTTTCCTTATGTATAAGATGAAGATAACAAATATAGAAATAATGTATATAGATGCTTAATAAATTGTCCTGCCATGGCTTTTTAAGTAGGTAAACCCCACATAAAACCTAACAGGGACCTACTCCCTTCAGAGGGACTTCCATACGATCCAAGACCAAATGCTGTGTTCTGGAACTGGAATCCTCACAAAATATTCTTGCCACAAAATTCTGCAGGGTTGTTGCTTTTTAAATGTTCACTTTGATCACTTCTAACTATATATTCTAACTATAGAATTAAGGTCTCTTTTCTAAGGATGATTGCCATCCAATTACAGAAGAGTTTCACCTTATTTGAAGAATGATTAAATGTGGAGGAAAAACATTTTTCTATAAAAATTCATCAAGTCCTCCTGCTGCTTTTCCATGCAGAATGAAAATCCTTTATTTGTTGTATAATTACTTCCTATGCAAATGATTAAAACATTTTTCTTTTTGCAACCTGGCCTTTGTGGCAGAAATTAAAATGGGAACTAAGTCAAAAGAAGACAGAATATTTTCCAAATTTCCTATGTAAGGCATTTTCCTTTGTTTATTAGAACACTTAATACACAGCACAGAATTTAGCGACCTACGCCCTCTTTTTAAAAAAAAACACACATCCACGGCTGCACATGTGTATGTGTGTCCTTAGAAAAGTATAATCGTGACAGAACTCAGAATAAATATCTCAGTTTTATATTCCTGAGAAATATAGCGTAGGAAGAACTCAAGTCCTGAGAGCAAGCCACCTCAACATTGTTCCTTCTTGTTTTTGTGCTCCTAAATTAAAATGCATGTTTTAATTACAGCAACTGTAATTTGTTCCAAAATGGTGTAATTATGAGGCATGATGAAGAGAGACTGTGCATCATCCTTTTATTATCTTTCTCCATTTCGGCTATAACCTTTTGTCTTAACCTTGGCTAGAACCTAAGCAGATAGGCTGGTGTAGTTACTGCTAGTTAAGGAGAAGCGGGGAGCCACTGCTTTTTAGTGTCTAGTAAACAGTTCCTTACAGTGTTCCAGCACCGATCTCATTGTAATGTGAAATAAACATTCAGAACAATGAAGTTATGATGGCCTTAAAATTGGAGAATTTTTTCTGACGACTGGCTTAGGAAATTTTATTAGTTCTGATATTAATAAGTAAATTTCCCCCTAACATTTTAGTATAAATGTTTAAAACATACAGAAAAGTTGACATATTCTACAGTGAATGTTGATCTGCCCATCCAGACTCTACTACTTGCCTTCTACAACACTTTCTTTAACCCATAGTTAGGTTTTTAAATAATTTAACTTTTTAGGACTCCTAATCATATGTCAAAGAGAGAATTAATACTTTTCTTCCTGGAAGAAAAACTGTTATTTTTACAACATTAAACTGCATGTTAGAAAAATGTCAGTTTTTTCCTTTGAATAGTTGACTGAAAATAAAGAATATGTTTCCCTAATCCAGAGTGATCTGAAAGGTGTAAGTCAGGACATTGTATATCATATTTCATTTTGTTCTGGTGAGCTAATTACTATGTTTGTGGATTTTCTTTTATATTCTACTTTAAGTCCTGACAAGTGACTGTTTATTTTCTCTTCAGAAACGACCGTCTTTCAAGCAAATCATTTCAATTCTGGAGTCCATGTCAAATGACACTAACCTTCCTGACCAGTGTAACTCATTCCTGCATAACAAGGCAGAGTGGAGGTAGGCGGGCCTCCCCTGGGGTCCTGTGTCCTGACTTTGTGGGACCCATGGCTAGTTGCAGTACAGACAAGAACCAAAGAGCTTAATGATAGTCCTGATTTCTAAGCATGGTATAAAAATTGTTTTTTTTGTTTTAAAGATTTTTGGAGATCTAGTAAGTCCTCCATTTCATAGTTAAGCAGAAAAGAGTGTTGCTCTAAGCTTTGTTGCCTTATCCTATGTCTAAGCATTTGGAAAGAATATTGAAATCCTATCTTCTGAGACAAGAGACAGTTCCCAGACATTTCTCTGTACATACTATGTTAGGAAGCTTCGGCCTCTGTCTGGTGAGAAATAAAAATGCTTTTTCCTTGACATTTGCAGAGCACTGTATCTATTGGTGGGGAGGCAGGGAGACAACCAAAACACTTTTAAAAGGAAAGTTTTGGTGTCATAAATCCTGTTAGATTTTGTCAATTGTAAACAAACTTTGTAATGAGACAATTGTATGAGTGGAAGAAGTAAACCTGGGATGAGATATTTGAGCCAGGTCACGTGATGCACTAATATAAATAGCATGTTTGGGAGCTGACATTATTCCTCCCTGACTCAGCAGAGATTTGAGTAACTTCATCTCTGCTCCTGGTCGGGGTGGTGTAACATGACTCCTTACGCCACCTGCTGTTGCCAAATGAAAACTGCATGCACCTTGAAAATAGGACTGACTTGTTTACTGCTGTCATTAGGCATTTCTCTGAACTTACTGGTTGATTGGTGTTTTACAATAACCTTATTTATTTTTATTCTGTGAAATATCTATCTAGGGCAAGTGAGTTGATTGAATTTTTATATAGGGATAAAAAAAAACTACTATTTCTCTGATCTAGGTATGAGTGACTTTGTTGTAGACTGAAATAATGAACATAACAAACGTGTGTGTAATATTTTTTCTCCTACTATAAAAAATCAACACATT